CAGAAGCAGTTACTGAAGGCCACCTCGTCAAATGTGCCTGCACTCCAGCTTCATTCTTTGTGGCTTAAGCTAACATGCACTGCTCACACTAAGGCCGCTATCACTGGGGAAGCCGGTTTTGCTGCTGTGAAGGACACTGTCATGAGCTTCTAGGAGGGGCTACAGTTCAAAAGGTGGCACAACGTGTTCTGCTGGCTAACACAGGTAGATGAACTGACTGAAATGAGGCCAACCGGAGCACAATTGTATCGACACCCTGGTACACAATCCTGGTTGAAAAGTCCACCAGTGTTGACAGTACTGCAACAATGCTTATCCTTGCGCAATGTATTTTTCAGGCAGATGGGAATGAGGATGTTACATCAACTTTCACTGCCAACCAGTATCACAGCTGCAGAACTACCCAAGTCTTTGAATGACTGTGTACCAGGGGAACTGAATTTGTCATTTTGTGTTGGCACAAAGCCATGACTAGATGGCTTTCTGATTTTACTACTCAGATCAGCGTGACTATCTAGGTAATGTCATTAATAGCAAAATGCCAGCCAGCTGAAAAACGTCAAGCTATTTTGCAAGATGTGATTAGGAATCATGAGTTATCCCACTTCAGCTGAAGAAGTTCTTCAAACCCCCAGAAATCCTCCTGGCTCAGCCTCCCCCATGCTGGGATTACAGGCTGTCAGGGGAAGGGTTAAAATATGACAGCAGTCATCTGGAATGCATGTGTTTAGTAACATGCCTTGGTTGCATGCCTTTCTGCAGAGAGGTTATCTCTTGAGAAAAGAGCATAGAGATAACTGTTAACACCCTAAGGTCTGACTGTTCCCAGGCTCTCGCTAAGGCTGGGAATGACCCCTCCCAGCCATGCAGGACTACTGGCACCAAGTCACTTTTGTCTGAACACAGTACTTTCAAGAAGCTGACAAACTGGATGTGACAGTGTTTTTTCTTGCATACTGAAGGCTCCGTCTCATATAAGATCCCTCCCCAGAGGGTTCGTCATGGTGCTGTCCCCTCATCATGTGGTAACATATTACTGACTATGCTTATCCATCTGCTGTACATATATATATACATATATATATATATATATTTTTTTTTTTCTTTTCTTTTCAAGACAGGCTCTCGCTATGCAGTTCAGGCTGGCCTTGAACTCACAATGACCCTCCTGCCTCAGCCTCCCGAGTGCTGGGATTACAGGTGTGCACCACCGCGCCCGGCTGTACTTTTACAGTAATCTTACTTTCGTCTTTTTAAAATCAGTGTGGCTCTTCTCTGTTGGTGCAGATCCAAACCTCAAGTTTCTGTGGCCGTAAGACTCCGTGCTGTCACACAGGTGTGCACCACCATACCTGGCTGGACTGTGAATCCCCACATTATTTTATTTTTTTGTCTTTTTTGAGACAGGTTCTCGCTATGCAGTTCAGGCTGACCTTGAACTCACTCCGTAGCCCAGGCTGGTCTCACACTTGCAATGATCCTCCTGCCTCAGCCTGCCGAGTGCTGGGATTACAGGCGTGTGCACCCCCACGCCCGGCCTCGCCAACCACATTAAAGTACACATACCTAACTCACATTTATTTGTGCAGCTCTGTGAGGTAATGGAAGCAGAGTACATGTCTCCTGAGATAGCTTTCTAAACGTACATCGCTGGTCAGAGAGCCACCAGACATTTATTTCAGAAAAAGCCACCACTAGCAGCACGATTCAGTGACACACAATGGATCACGAAATGTGCTTACTTGTGTGACACACTGAGCCTGCTCAACGAACTCAATCTGTTACTTCGAGGAAAATGACAGCTGCACTCCATCAGCAGATCAAGTGGATGCATTCAAAGCTAAACTGAATTATGGGGGTTATGAACTTTGTGATTTTGACATTTCAAACACAAGCAGAAATTTTGAGATTGAAGCAGGGCCTTTTCTCCCAGCTGGTGCATGATCGCCTATTTCAGCTTTTGAAAGATTTTGAGAACTATATCCCAAACACAAAAGACCCTCAAAATGAGAAGGAATGGATCCATGACCCTTTTCTGAAATAAGCCACGTGAATCACTCTGTCCACACTAGAAGACTATCCACTCCTGAGACAGCAAACAGTGACAGCCTTCGAAGTATGCTGCAGACTTCCAATCTCCACGTTCTGGATTAAAGTCAAGGTGCAACCCTCTGAGACTGTCAGGAAGCACTGAGAAGCCCCCATGCATTCTCAACATCCTACTTGTGTGGAAAAGGAATTTTTTTTTTGAAAAGGAATTTTTGCAGCGACAGCAAATAAAGTAAGATTCCAGGATAGAGTGGATATAGCAACAAACTTCAGCTGTCACCCTCCCCCACCACCCACAATGGGACTGTCCAGCTGCAAGAAAGCAGGGTTCCCTCTGGTTCTACAGTGAGGACAGCTGTGTAACTAAATCATTACACATTTTAATGTAGTACTGCAGTGCACAATAAACGTGATGTGCTTACATCAACCTCAAACTATCCTCCCCTCCTCTCTGTGGAAAAACTGCTTTCCACAAAGCTGGTCCTTGGTGCGAAAAAGGTTGGGGATTGGTGGTACAAAGTAACTGAGGTGGGCATGGTGAATGTATTAGGGAGGTCTGAGGCAGAAAGATTATTTGAGCCTGGGAGTTAGAAACCAGTCTTGGCAACAGGAGTCACACACCGCCCCCTGCTCCCAAAAAGAAGAAAAGGCTATTAGCAACTCTTCTTGGCTCACAGAACTAAGAAGACAAGACCAAGAAATTCTAAGAGTTAGAGGAGTATGGGGAAAAAATTCACTTATCACATGTAGAATGAAAAAACCAGTATTAATTGGCACTGCTGAAAGTGTGTCCTAATTCTTGGTATTAAATTAGTAGCAGGAGAGGCCTTTTCTCAAAGAAATTAGAAAGTAGAAAAGATACCCTGTACAGTCCATACAACTAAGAAAACTTCTGTAACTGGGAAGGATAAGGATGGCAAGCAGGATTTTTTTCTCCTGTCCTTGATTAGAATGACTACATATTGACTTTATTTATTTATTTATTTTCCGGTACTGGGAATTGAACTCACGACTTTGCACTTGCCAGGCAGGCGCTGTGCCGCTGAGCTAATACATATTAACTTTACAATGTAAAAATAGAACTGGGAAAGGAAAAAAAGCATTATTCTCTCCTTTTTTAAAAAGCATTACTCTCATCTAGTTACATTTGTATCTTCTGAATTTCCAATTTATCTTTTCATGAGCATTTTATTATGAACGAAGTTAAACATTCAAATTTATTTATTTATTTTTGGTACTGGGAATCGAGCTCAGGACCTTGCACTTGCCAGGCAGGCACTTCTGCTGCTGAGCTATATCCATGACTTAAACATTCAAATTTAAAAGATTTATTGTGAATACATATAATTCAGGTTGGCCCTGAATTTTTTTTTTTTTTTTTTTTTTTTTTGAGAGAAGGTCTTACACTATGCAGTTCAGGCTGGCCTTGAGCTCACTTTGTCGCCCAGGCTGGTCTCAAACTTGCAATCAGCTGAGTTCAATTCCCAGCGCCAAGATCCTCCTGCCTCAGCCTCCCGAGTGCTGCGATTACAGGCATGTGCCACTACGCCCGGCTTTGTCCTTTTATATTTAACTCATTAGAAAGTACAGAACTTACTACCTTGTAGGTGGGAGGTGAAGATCAAACTGTTTTCTCAGTGCATCAATTTAGTACTTTTACCAATTTAGCAACAACTGGTTGATTTTATGAGTTTGCTCATCTATCAAAGTATAATACAAGTACAGTACACAAGAAACTGATCGTTCAGTTGACTGACTTTCATGAAATAATTGGCACATTCATTTGCAGGGAGACTTTAAAACCTAGCTTATATTCTCTACTCCCCTCTTTGGCTCTGACAGTAAACTGGATGTTTGGAGCATGGGCTGGAGATGTGGCTCTGGGGTAGAGTGCTTGCCTAGCATGAACACAGCCCTGAGTTCAATTCCAGCGCCACACCCACACAAACTCTTACGTACTGCAATCACTGAGTCTGCAAGTATTTCTAGCACAAGCCTATTTAGAGGAGTGTCTTCTCTAGTCATTTTTTTTTTTTAGACATGGATATATAGTTTTGGCTGACACTGAACTCATGGAGCACAGGCTGGCCTTTAACTTGTGGCAATCCTCCCACCTCAGCCTCCCAGGTGTTGGGATTACGGTCATGCACCACCACACCTAGCTCTGCTTTAGTCATTGTTGATATGCCATTTTCTTTCACAGGAAAAGCCTTGAAAAGAAAGCCCAAATATATGTAAAATTTAGTATACGATAAAACTGAAATGAGAAGCAAATGAGAGAATTACTAAATTCATAGAGATGAGGACACTGGCTGAAAGTCTAAAAAATTTACATCTGTAATTTCTCAAATTTCCTTTTACAGAAAAACAAATGATCCACAATACTGGAAGGTTAACAATATATTTTTACTTTAATTTTTTTTTTTATTTGGACCAATATAAGAGTAGGTATATATTTTTTATGCTTATAGTTTTTATACAACAATAAAAACCGTAACATTTACAAATTAAATTAAAACAAAAATATAAAAGAAAATGCAAATTATCCACCTTTACTTAATACAACAATGCTGTTTGCTCAAATAGAAATAATTTGCTCAAGCCAGGGGCCATGGTGTATGCCTTTAATCCCAGCACTTGGGGAGGCTGACGCACACAAAGATTTCAAGTTTGAGCAGAACCTGAGGAATTTACTGACTTAGAGACCTTGCCTCAAAAAAAAAAAAAAAAACCCAAACAAAATAAACAAACCACATAAAAAGGGGTAGTGATGTAGCTCAGTGCAAAAACTTTGGGTTCAATCTCCAGTACCACCATCAACATGCCTCCACCTGCCAAAAAGTTTTGCTCAAAAGAAGTAATCAGAAATTTGGTTTAACAGCAAAAACTTGTAGGTACAGGTTCCCATTTTGTTCTTCAAATTATTTGAGCCTTTAATAATGCTGAGAAAATGTTCATGAAAGTTTTTTATTCAACTGGTATTAATAAAGGCAAGTCTTTCCTTCTTTTGCTTGCTTTTTTCTTGCTCTTTTGAGACAGGGTTTTGCTAGGCAGTTGAGGCTGGCCTCAAACTCGCGGCAGTCCTCCTGCCTCCTGCTCCCAAGTACTGGGACTACAGGAGTGCGCTCTTACACCTGGCACCTCTGCTTCACAGCAACCAGAGTATTAATCAAAATTCTCAAGTAGCAGTTCTCAACCACCAATTGTAAAAAAGGTGAGCACTGACAAATTAAGAATATTAAAACTGCCTTTACTAAGCTTCAGGATGACCACTGAATTCAATTAGTTTCACGTTTGGAACAGGAGCACTGTTTACTACTTATCTGCTATTACGCCTATTGCTAATGAACTGTTGTTACGTTCATTACTGCTCACCACTGAAGGGTCCTGACTCACGGGACAGATCTTTTCTTGAGTAATACCAGAAACCAGATCGGGTACATTATGTGTACCACAACACAACAGCCTCATTTCTTTCATCTTTACACAATTTGTGTTCTGCAGCTTCATCAGTTTTACTTTTTTTCAAATCAGATTTTAATTTTGAGTATTTCACACTATTGTTGAGGTGCATCTCACTCTCTTCATGTTTACTAAGAATATGCGATAAATGCTGCCAATCCCTGCACCCACTCTCATTTTTCAGTTGATTTTTTCCTTCCCCAAAGAGTTTGCAATATAGGCAAAACACAGAATCTTTACAGGTTGAATAAAGTAACCAGGATCTAGTGCTTTTTTCACCACTAGGAAGAATTCGTGTATAGTAAGTTTCTGAAAACTTTCTCCCTGTGTTGTCTTTTGGAAAGTCAAAATTTCTTACTTGAGGTGGATCATTCTCAACAAGAGAATTCCGTTGCTTAATGTTCAAAATTCGGGGCCATGTACCTGGATCTGCAGAAAGCACAACTGGTTTAAAGGAGTCTTCTGATTTTTTGTCTTCCAGTTGCTCCTGAAATTCATCAGCTGTGGCTGACTCAGAATAAGGTAAATTCACATTCTGTTTGTTCAGTGACCTGTCTGGGCTACATTCTGCTGGAACTTGTTCTGAAGTCTTTTCTTTTTTTTCTGGTACATACTCTAATTTTTCTAAACATGTATTTAATGATCTGTATAGTTTACTTTCATTTTCTTCTCCTATTACAATCCTTTTCCTTTTTTCTGATGCTGATAATGTCTCTGATTTTATTTCCATCATCTGGGGAGAAACAGTATAGTATAGGTTATAATTTTATTACAACTTGTTAATACTTAAAACATGTTCATCACTAGACATCAAGTAAATACAAATGAAATGACAAAGCATATCACTTTACGCTTAATAGGATGGCTTTAATAAACATAAAGACAAGTGTTGGAAACAATAAACATGAAGACAAGTGTTGGAAACAATAAACATAAAGACAAGTGTTGAAACAATAGACATAAAGACAAATGTTGGAAACAATAAACATAAAGACAAGTGTTGAAACAATGTGGAGAAACTAGAACTTTCCTAGGTGCCAATGAGAATATACAATGATGCAGCTGCTTTCTGAGAAAGTCTGAGCGTTCCACTGAAGTAATTATGTATGTATATATGTATGTATGTATGTATTGGTTTTTTGAGACAGGTCTTGTTATGTAGCTCAGGCCCTGAACTCACTATGTAGTCCAGGCTGGCCTTGGATTCATGGTAATCTTCCTGCCTCAGTCTTCTGAGTGCTGGATCGCAGGTGAGCACTACTATGCCCAGCTCTTCACTGACGTTTAATGTAAGAGCCACCACATGACCCAGCAATTCCATTCCAAGACATACACCAAAAGAAACTAAAAATATATACTCACACAGAAACATACAAATATTCATAGCAACCCACTTTTTGGAAGGGTACTGGGGATTGAACATAGGGCTGTCATGTAGAGTACAGTACATCCTCAGTATTTTTTAATTTTTAATTTTCAGACAGGGTCTCATTAAGTCACTAAATTACCCAGTTGGACTCAAATTCACAATCCTGCCTGTCTCCAGAGTAGATGGATCACAAGCATATGCCACTTGTTTAGTAATAGCAACTACTTTTGTTTTTGTTTTAGTTTTTGGTTTTTTTTCCGGTACCGGGAACCGAACTCATGACCTTGCGCTTGCCAGGCAAGCGCTTTGCCGCTGAGCTAAATCCCCAGCCCCGCAACTACTTTTAATGGTGAAAATTCCATAGACAATTCTTACAGTACACAGGTACAATACACATGTAAATATGGAGAGATCTCCATTTCAGAAGTTGCCATTGTTAATATTATTATGGTGTTGGTGATCAAGCCAGGGAGCTTCATCACTAGGTTATACCTTCAGCCTTTTTGAGATAGGATCTCACAGTCACTAAATTGCTGACTTGGCTCAAATCTCCAATTGTACCTCCAGGCTTCTAGACTGCTGGGATTGAAGGTATGTACCACCACTCTGCTCATCATTCATCCTTAGTGGTAAATAACTTGTAATAAAAAAGTATATGTGGATTTAAAATGAAAACTGAGCATTTACCATAGAAGAATAATTTGAAGATTTTCAGTTAGCTGAGAAAAAAGCTCCTCCCTTAGGAGCATGTATCTTTTTTGTGATGTCAGATTAATATTAAATTAAAACAGAATGCTAGCCGAGCATGGTGTCGCATGCCTGTAATCCCAGCACTCGGCAAGCTGAGGCAGGAGGATTGTTTTGAGTTCGAGGCCAGCGTGGGCTACAAAATGAGCTCAAGACCAGCCTGAACTGCATAGCGAGACTTGTCTCAAAAAGACAAAAAACAAAAACAAAAATAGAAACAAAAACAAAAAATCCCCCCCCCAATCAAATGCTATACAACATTGACACTCTTAGACCAAACTGCCACAACTCTTGAGAAATTCAATTTTGACTTTTTTTGAACATTGTGTTGCCATCAACTGCACTCTACTGTATAACTATTTTAAATGAAAATTCATGAGACATGAATAGCATCCACAGCATCCAATCAGAAATATACAACACAATTCTATTTTTTTGCAGTACTGAGAATTGTACCTAGAGCCTTTGCACTGAGCTATGTTCCTAGCCCTTTCTATATTTTGAAACAGGTGTCACTAAGTTGTCCAGGCTGGGTTTGAACTTTTGATCCTTGTGCCTCAGCCTCTCAGCTAGAAAGGATTACAGATGCACGCTAGCTTGCTCCTCTTTGAGACAGGTTTTGCTACACCATTCAGGCTAGCTGTGAACTATGCAGCCTAGGCTGGTCTCCAACTCACAACGATCCTCCTGCCGTGGCCTCCTGAGCTCTGTAATTACAGATGTCTGCCACCATGCATGGCTTTTTTATTTTTTAAAAAAGGGTTTTGCTGGGCCGGGGATATGGCTCAGTGGCACAGTGCCTGCCTAGCAAGCACAAGGTCCTGAGTTCAATTCCTGGTACCAAAAAAACAAAAAAAAAAAACAACAAAAAACAAACCCCAGGGTTTTGCTATGTTGTCTAGGCTGGACTGGACTCACTATCTTCCCATCTCAGCCTCCCAAGTACCCAGAAACACAGGCATGTACCACTACAATTCTGAAAGCTGTGTGGTAACATTAGTAAAAAAAGCAATGGAATGACCTAAATAAATCTGTACTCTTCAACATTACTTTTAACTGGGCATGGTGGTGCACACCTTAATCTAAGAACTTGTGAGGCTGAGGTAGGAAGATCCTGAGTTTGAGGACATCCTAGGCAACTTAAAGCAAGCTGAAGGCCAACATGTACTACAAAACAAGACCTCTCTTCTCCCAAACAAACGAAACATACTCTCTGACTATAAATTTCCTTTTTTTCCTTCTTTTTCTTTCTTTTTGTCTCCCTTCTCTCCCTTTCTTTCTGGTACTGGGAATTGAACTCAGGACTTTGTGCTTGCCAGGCAGGTGCTTATGCCACTGAGCTATATCCCCGGCCCTGAGTACAAATTTTCAACAGTAAGAAAGCCAGACCTGAGGTACAAATCAGTCAGTGAACTCTGGGAGTAATTCTGGCAAGAGATGATGGCATCAGCAGTAAAGATAAGATCAAGTGGAAAGATGCTCAGGAAGTAGAACCTGGATTAGTGAGTAGATGTGGGGACTAAACTAAGAAAATTGTTTTTTTTTTTTTTTTTTTT